ATTCACTCCAAAGGGTGGAGTTGTGCTGGAAAACCGCGATTCTTTGTGTTCGGCAGAGAGAAAGAAGGCAAAAAAAAACTTTCTCTGCACTGGAAAATCGCGGATGCAACGCCGATTGACGGTGAACTTTGAGAGTCACTCAAGTATTCCTAAGCGTCATCTTCTCCAATCGTCCAGTCATTTGCGCATCCATTTGATGTTTATACGTGTCAACATCGCATTTGACCCACTCTCAAATGCGACTCTCTCCCCTCCTGAGATCCGCGGTTCCCAACTTGCAAGAAACAATGGAACAATTAGATGAACAAGTGCGCCATTTAGAAGGCCCCGGAGTGAATTGTGATGCTGATTTGCATACGAAATTCCTTATATCAACCGCCTGGGCATAATAGTTTCATTAATCTTTGGAGAGGCCTCACAAGTGCGCGACTTCGGGCGTATTTCTTCCGTCTTTCTTCTTTTCCCAAACAACACCCGAAAGGGAAACTCTCCACTTCCGACTCTCGCAACTCTCGAGCTCTTTGTTTGCCAATACGCGAGTGGTGCGGAATAACAAGAGGAAGAGGCGCTGGCGGAGGGAGAAAATCAAAGGAATCAAGGGAAATGGGAGGAATAGTCAAGTGCATTTCGGGGGGTTGGAATATCATAAAAATATTGCTGTCTGGAGTGAATTTTGAACGAGGAGCAAAAATCCGTCGAGTATTTCAATTAATTTCAATCCCATTCACTCCGGCTCTTGCCATCTGCATTGCTGCTGAGTACCTTCAGTAAATTGGGTTTGATTCGGCGTTCCATTGTGCAAGTCGCTCGTGTGCAGCAACACTGGCACAAGCCTCGGCTTTTCCCCTCTGCATTTCGCTCTGCGTCTTATCAAATTGACGCTTGCTGTACACTTTATTGATCTCTCTTGGTCGGGAAGATAGCATCGGTGGGAGTGATTAGTCTTGCCAGAGAGCGAAGAAGTGAAATTGTGCAACGTCACTGCGCAATGACGATGAATAACGAGGGCTTCACTGTATATGCAAATGAAGATAATGCGTTCTGTATGCAGAGAGTCGGAGTGCGCAAAAGGGATTGTGAGATTCCAATTGAATAATTATAATTTCTGCTGTACTGATGCGAGCCCAGCAGTTGTACAATATGCAAAGATCTGAAGGGGAGAGGAGAAGAAGAGGAATTTCGATGAATGCGTGTATGAATTTGGTAATGCCGAAATGGTGAGAAATCAATAATTCCAATCCCGCAACTCATGAATTGGGTGCAAGTAGCTGTACCGGAAATTTTCAAGGCATATTGCCTACCAAAACTCTTCTCGTCGTCGTCGTTTTTTTTTCCACCTCAGCCATCATGTATGAAATCCATTCGCTTTGGTGCGCTTCACAATTTATTGAACTCTCTCGAGAATATCTCTTTGCGTGCCCTCGACTCCGCGCGCACTTCTTGCACGCCAAATTGTTCAACTGCACAAAAGACTTCTCTTGGCGTACAAGAAAAATTTCCTATGGTCGTGGCCGTTTTTTCTACACCACGCCGAGCATTTCTATTTCTACGGCTGGCAGAGTTGTCTTTGTTTCCCGCGCGCATGTTGCGTTTTTCGTCAAATGGATGTACAACTCTTTAATCACCTTTCTCCGGTGCGTCCTCAGCATTTTGCGGCCTTTGCCAACTCCGCACACAGACAGAATCACTCACAGTGCCATGCAAAGTGTGTGCGCTTTTGACTTTTCTTGGCCATTTCTTGACGATTTTTCGGAAGGAAGGAGGAGAAAAATTGAATAAATTCAGAAATTATACTGAATTTAACGCTAATTTGCTGATTTCAAGTCTGAATTTGGACAGGAAGTTTTGAAATTAATCACTTTTCAAGTGCAACTCAAGTAACATTTGAGATTATGTTAGACTTTACCACAATTTGCATTGTTTCTTAACTTTAAGGGTCCGGAAAAATGATCTTTCTTGAATGTCAATGTCTTATTTTGTGAAATACAGCAAGAACTAATGTGCTGGAATACTAATTATCTACTAAATCTGTTTTCAATTAGTCTTGTTACCTAGAAAAACATAAGAAATTGGCAGATATTCCAAGAGAAATTCATAGAATTACATCAATTAGTTAGGCAAAAAGGGAGTTTGTGAGCCAAATATTGTCGATATTTGAATACTTTCGAACGTTTTCAATGTTTGAAAGCTTCTTAAGCTCAATTTGCATTCTGAAGATGTAATTTGCTCGCGTTGCAACACATTTGCTGGCCACTGTAACTCTGCAGCGCAGAGTCTATTGTGGCACGAACACACTCAAGTACAGCCCAGATGAGTTGAATGGCGTATATGTTATTTTCATGGTAATTCTATTTTATTTCATTATTCCTCCAAAAATTGTAATTACGCCATTATGGGCAGCAGTTGCTGCGGAGCTGAAAAAGACGCGAGAAGAAAGAGGCTCCAAAACATTAGATGTATCACGCTTGCATGCGCATTGCCGGGTCCGTTACGCGGCGGAGAATATGAATCTCGGCGGGCGCGCGGAGTGTAAGACCTGGATGTTGCAGCGCCCCTCGGGCCCCAACTCCACCCCTGGGCGAGTGCATAATTATTGGTTCATGCGCAATGCGTGGTGCGTGATTGTGAAAATAATAAAATGCGCCTCTCCAGCGCACTTCCTCTCTCTCTCTCTCGCACACACATCTCTCTGCCGAAAACCCCCGAAAGCACATTGAAATTTCCAGTCATGCACGCAGAATGGGCCTCCCACCCGCCCAAGAAGAGAAGAAAGAAAGAAAAAAAACCACTCTTTTTGATGTTTTGACATCGCGGCAAAAGCTCCAGCGAGTGGTGCAACATTTGGCACTTTGGCCGCACCAAATGAACGGCGGAGGAGCGAAAGAGATAAGAAAATGGAAGTGTTTGGCAACTTCCACACACCCGAATAGATGCATAAAATGCGATTTAGTGTCTGAAAGGCAATTAAAGTGGCCACAAATGAAATCGATCGTGTGAAGCAATGGCGCCTCGAGTGCTCGTTAAGAGATTTCGCAGGAGCGCTGAAGAAATTACCTGCAGTTCGCGAGAGAGAGAGAGAGAGCTTTTTGGGGAGCTTTCGTGCGAGATATGCAATGCATGAGAAATGGAGCAATAAATCACAGTTATGGCAGCACTCGATTGAGAAGTTTCCACTCTATTAACTCACTTTCGTGCCTTCTTCGGATGGTCTTTAAGAATTCCCCCGGATTTGCACGATCAAAGGGATGATTTCGGCGATATTGACCACAAGTGTCAAGAATTGATTAGTCGAAAACCACCTTCCGGACTTCATCACAATGCCTGTGAGTGTTTCTGTGGAACCTCAATTTCAAGTCCACACAATTCACAAAAAAAAACTCCGGCGTTTCCAAGGAATTTCACTGTTGTTCTTGCCGTGCGTCCTTGAAGATGATTTGGCCGAAACCACAAGACGCTTCAAAGTGTGTGGATTAGAAATGCATATTCAATCGGCATTTCCGTTTTAGGGGGCTCGCGAATGGAGGAACATCGCGCACAATGGAGCTGAGCTTGCGATCTTGCTTAGTCAGATAATTGTTTGTGTGGCGCGCGATTTGCATAAATTCGCACGTTTTGTCCGACGAGCAAGTCATATTGAGGGTGTCGCAATTGTGTCCATTTTGGCTGCACAAATGACCTTAATTCGGACGGTTTTTTCCTCCTCCAGTGTGTGAGTGAATGTGACTTTGCCTATCGCGAGCAGTTGATATTTAAGATAATGTGTGTAAAACTCTCGCTTTGGTGCGTTTCAATGCGCTGCGGCGCTTTAATGGGTTTTGTTTTTTCCGTCCATATAATGACCATTAAATAGTTTTGACCCACGAGACCGCATTCGGACCTACTTTTTCTGCTGAATAACAAATTTTGGGCAGCAATGGAGCGCAATGTGTGCAACTTTTCGTGTCTTTGCGTCATTTTTCGCCTATTTATCTCTCAATGACTTCTTATTCCACTGATGCGTTTCGCCAAAAAAAAGAGAAATACAACCACCAACTTCTGTGGGCCTTCTTGTGGCCCACAAGAAAGAGTGTGCAAGAGTGGATATTATGGCTCTTTGAGAGTCGTTTCAATCCAATAAATAATACCAAATAAATAAACTGTTAGTGTGCGTTCCACGATGATGGAGCTTTCGACGCTCTTCTGCCGGAGAGACACGTGTTGTGTGCAGTTGGAGTTGATTTTCAAATGATGCCACACAATCTGCACACGGTCTCTGGTGTGCGTGACGAAATCACAGAAAATTTCTCAGATTGCGCTGCCCGCGGAGATCAGCAAGACTGTGATGCTGCACACAATGAGGCGCGACAGCTGGCCAACACTTTGGCTCAGCTTTCCGCCGGAGATGCGGCGATATTTGTGTGCAGCGCCAAGTTGCGTGCCTCCGAAATATCTTGGGAAACCTCCGAGATGTGATCGATGCCCACGGAAATTCGATCAATCTCGTCATACATTGGAATCAGTGTCGACTTGTGTGGAGATTAGGCGTGTGAGAAGCGAAATTACACCGGGTGTTCATGCACAGAACGATCGGCTTTGAGGCCAAGAATCGATGAGAAATTCATCCAATTGAAGTTGCGAGAAAGAGAGGAGAGAAGCCTTGCGGTCAGAACTTTTTGGCCATCGGCAAAAAGAGTGCATTCCCAGAATGAATCGTGATGTGGTTCTCAGTATTTGATGTATTTGATTGAACTGGAAGGTGAAGAAGTCGTGCGGGTCCAGAGATCGCCAGGGCATGATTTTAGGGTTTGGGATTTGCCACGGAAATATTTCACAGAGTGAAAAGAAAGAATGAGCAAAATTTCAACAGTCAAACTGCTCGAAAAGAGTTCAAGCATGATCAAATTTGCCTTCAGCGAATTCAATCGTGCGCCCCAAAAAATTGATACACACAAAATGCACTTCAGCGGAATCGCGCGGCAACAAAAGATTTAACGTTTGTCTCTTCTTTTGTGCTCTTGCAGATCATCACCATGGATCCACATCAGCAGTTTTGTCTCAAGTGGAACAGCTACTCGTCCAATTTGGCGCTCACCTTCTCGAATTACTTCAAATCCGAGAGTTTGGCCGATGTGACGCTCTTCTGCGGAGGTGAGTTTCGGACATGGGTTTTTCGGGGGGTGGTGGCGGATAATGTCCAAACAGACCGCAAACTTTTTCACGGAAATGACATTTCCGTGATGTTTGTGTTCCCCTGGAATTGATTGTGGTCTGGAACGACGGAGGATGTTCTGAAAGGCGGATTAAGAGAAACAATCCCGCAAAAAGGGACTGCAAGTGAGGGGATTATAGACGGCGAATTGAATACCTGTCACGTGAGATGAAAATTGAATTTCCTCCGCGTGTCCCACCCATTTGAGGAGGTCCAGACTTGAGTCCAGAGGAGGCTTGAGTGCTTTTCATCCAATTGTCAACACTGATTTGGTGCTTTTGCAAATGATTCAATGAGCTTTGGCGGAAAAGAACATGAAAAACATGCTGAAAATTTGCGAAATACACAAGAAGTGATAAATTCATAGAAAATGAGTCTAATGACGAGTAAAAGAATGATAATTTGAGATTTTCTGATTGAAGGAATTGCTAAGAAATCCAATGTTTTAAGGAATTCATTAATATTTGAAGAGTCAAATGATGGAAGACTTGACGCTGAGAATCTTCTCTTCCCGTCCTTTTCGTATTGAAAAGCATTTCACACGATTTTTTCTTTGCTAAACATTAAAAGATTGAAACGATAAATATAGTTAAATAATCACATTGTCTTGTGTGACTTGGCCAAAAACCCTTTCAAGTCAATTTTACTTTCCCATCTCAATGTTTTGACGCGTCGTCTGACACAATATCGGAAGTTCCACTCACGGATTCTCGAGTCTTCCGCTGATAAAGCTCAGCCAGTCCAGTCTGGATCCGATATATTGAGTGTCTATTGACGAGGGAGGAAATGAGTCACGTGAAACTTTCCCTGGCGGAATCTTTGGCGGGGGATGTTTTTCACTGGAATCTATTTGCCTTTCGCTTAAGCATCTCCTCTTTTTTTTCTCACCGAGATCCGCCGTCAGTCAGTCGCGTATGATTTTCCCACCCATTTTCTCGCGCGACTCAAATCCACCCTCAATCATCATTCGCCTCATGGGATGTGTCTGTATATGTAGAGCACCCAGTTTTCCCTCATCATCGCATTTTTTTTCGCCGCACAGACACATGGAGTGAAAATTCTTGGGTGTCAGAGAGGAGATTTTCTCGCTTCTCGGCTGCGGCGGTGCGAGTGAGAGGAAAAAATATTATTTCTATGTATATTTCGGGCGCACGTAAAGGAGACTTTTATGTATTAAAATACTCATACAGATGGAGAGAAAGAAAAAAGGGCCGATAAGATGGGCGAGAGAGAGTGTGTGTGTGGGTGTTTTCTTGAGCCAGGTCCGGGATAATGCGGGATGCTGCGAGCGAGAGAGCTTTTTTCCTTGGTGGTTTGGGGCTTTTTATTTGACTGAATATGGTGATGCCTGTTTATTATATTTGGATGAGGAGGAGAGGAGAGATGTATAGTCTGGGGCGAGTGTAGACCAGAGAAGAAGTGCGTACGGATGATTTATGGGTGGCGGCGAGAAGACTTGTCTCTTCACTTTTAAAGCTCTCATGAGGATCGCCTTAAAGCTCCTCGGCAGTCGCCAAATTACAACCGCCCAAAAACACCAACAATCTTCATTTCCCGAGCACAACTAACGAAATATCGACTGAGAAAGCAAGAGAGGAAGAGAGAGAGATTCCATTGGGGAGATAGAGGAAAAGTGTATTGGAACACGCATTTCACCTGTTTCGCTTTCATCGAAGGGTGGATTTTCCCTTTGCCTTTTTTCCCTCTGCCGCTGATTGGATTTTCGAAGGTGGAAAAGCTCTCACCCACTTCGCCCTGCCACTGTGCAGTGAATGCGAAATTGAAAGGATTAAAGTGAGGATGACTCCGAGGTGTGTGGGAGGCTCTCTCCTCTCTTCCATCATCATCCTGACAGGATTTTCCGATGGCAGATGAGGGCGAAAAATGGGCGCGTCTCACCGTCAAAGGCTATACATTAGCCAAATGCTGGAATGCTGAAGGCGCGCGCGGGGTGGGGGTGGTTTTTTGTTTATTTTATCGCAGAGACACATTCAAAAACTCATCCGTTTGGTGGGTGTTTTTTTCCCTCCACGTGCACTGAATTTTGGGGGAGAGAGAGAGAAATAACACACAAGCAAATTGGCTGCGCTGTTGATGCTTTCAAATCGCATTTAATTCCTCGAGAACCCATTCGCAATTCATCCTTCTCCTTTCGATCTTTCATCAGACACGACGAGAGCTTTTTTTTTCTGGCCCCCTTCTGAGTCCCTTTTTTTCCCTGTGCGTTTGCTTCTCTGTATATTTTTCACAGAAGGAGAGACACACGGAAGTGAGAAAGTGGAGAGGAAATTTTGCATTTTCTGACTCATGATTTGGCGTGCAAAAATTGGGGGATTTTTCCAACACACATTTGCTGGAAATTAGTCAGACATTCAATGCATGGAATCTCTGGATTTTCGTCCAATGTCTTCTGCCACGAGTTTGAGCCAATTGCCTAATTTTTCGTGCAGCATATGCTGCTCTGCGTGTGTGAGCTTTTCCGCGACCTCCGCGAGGCCCAAATTCGCGCGGGGCAGGAATATCAGTGCACACTTGAGTAAATATCTTGTGCGACAAATTATTTATCGTGTCTATTTATTCTGTATGATATTTCTTTTTTCGTGAGAAGAACATTATTTAGATGGGGCTGTGTTGTTGCTGCTGAGATAAACCACAGTTCGCTCTTTAAGTTGTAGCCAGAGCTAAGATATTTTAATCAGAAAATAAATACCGTCTTATTTATTGTCTTATGAATTATGTTTCTCTCCTGAAGACAACTCTAATGCATTCACACAAATTTCTGCTTACATAATTAAACTATAACACACGAGATATGACTTCTTCTTGAGGGAAATATATAGCCATCATAGAGTTTCTGTGCTGGCGCGAAAGATTAAAATGCAATATATTTTTACTCGCCTTCAGGAGATTGCTTAGGCAGAAAAAATGTGCGCAATCGACGAATTATATTCTGGGAAGAGTGAGAAAGAATGTTCCAATCACGAAAATCTCCTCACGAAAGGCGAGCGCCAGAGGATAGTGAAAAATATCAGCATATCTCTTCTTGTAAAAGTGTAATGGCAAATCATTGCCATTGCGTTTTATTTTTACAGTTTCCCATTCGTCACTCTCGCATACAAGTGCAGTTTTTGGGGCCTCTAATCTCGCGCGCACTCCTCTCTGAATAATCATTTTTAATAATAGCGCGCATTTTTCCGTTGAGGCGCACCAACTCTATATCGATGTGAGTGTGACACAGTTTTTTCTACGCCGCGGAATTAGGTCACACACATGAGAAATTGCATCAAACGCGCGTCGCTTTATTTTTTTTCGCTGAGAAACACCCAAAAAAAAATCGACATGGCGCACACACGCTCGCATTTGCGCCCCCATAAGCAACTATAATAGCAATTGGAAAGAAATCTTAGAGCACACTCTCGCGTCATTCTTGCTCAAAAATTGTGCGCCTTTGCGTTTGACATTCACTGCCGCAACAGCGCGCGCGAGGAAAGAGCGCCAGAGGAGTCGCGGGCTGTGCATGAGGTCGAGAGGGGAAGGAGAGCGCCAAACAGAGACGGAGAGAAAAAACCTATCTTTGACACAGTGCTCATGAATTGTTTATCTCAATTGCATAACACTGAACACTTGGTGAGACTCGCAATTTGGGCGATAGAATTTGGCTTAGGAATGCCCAATGGTTAATGATATTCTTGCCATTTGTCAATGGGTATCGCGCTTTTCAATTTGATTACATTTCGGAAGAAGCGCGCGCGGTGGGAAAATGCAAATTAACCTTTTAGGGTTGGGCTGCGTGAATTGCGCTTATGTTTCAGTGAAAACTTTCTTGCGAATGTCGATGGAATCTGCAAAATTGCAGAATCTTTTCCCAGATCTTAAGCGGAAATTCAAGACACAAAGACAGCCAATATTGCATGAAATGCAAAACCTAAGCGAGCAGATGGTTTCTCATGGCGCTCATCTGAGGAATAAATCGCGGAATTGATGTTGCGCCCACCCGCAAAGTATCACGTTCGCGCGATTGTCCAACTGTGAATATATTGCAATACTTTCGAGTGACTCTCGTCACACAGAGATTGCCACTGTTATCACGCACTGATAATGGACTGTCTCCCGTTGCAGGCACAATTTTCAAGGCTCACAAACTGATTCTGGCGGCGTGTTCGAAGCACTTCGCCGACCTGTTCCAGACGGCGCCCATCAATGGGTCCTGCTGCGTGATCCTTGAGGCCACGTCGGCGGAGAACATGTCGGCCCTGCTGGAGTTCATGTACAAAGGCGAGGTGCACGTGTCGCAGGAGTCGCTCAACAGCTTCCTGAAGGCGGCCGAGAGTCTGCAGGTGAAGGGCCTGTCCACGGAGCACGGTCGCCTGGCGGCCGCACCCTCGGGCGGCGTGCACGACGTGCCGCTGGAGTCGCCCACGGGCAGTACTAGTCGACGACAGGGCAGGGGAAGCCTCAGCGGATCCGGGAATCTGGGACACACAGGGATTAAACAGGAATGCGACTCACTTATGCATCCCAGTAGTGCAGGTTAATACATCCCAATTGTGCCTCACATCCTGACCACACTAACTCCTCTCCTGGCTTTGCAGGCTTAGCGGGATTCCACTCCTACATCTCGCCCATGTACCGTCCTCTGCCATACGACCCACCCAGGAAGAGACCGCTGCGAAGTCCCTACATCGAGCAGGAGGCCAGAGGAAGCGTCCTGCGCGACGGCTCCAAGGGCAGCACCGGCAACGCCAGCCCCATCAGCAAGGGCTACAGGTGAGTCACGGCGCGAGAGGTTAAACGCACGCTAAATCTCCCCGTTTTCCCGGCAGACCCGGAAGCAGCGCCTCTTCATCTGCGCCCACTGAAGCTGACGCCCTGCAGACGGAAAGAACATCGCCGCAGCAATCAAGGTGGGTTCTTTTTGCCGACTCAGATTAAGATGACGTTTCTCTTCGCGAAGTCACTGAGAGGCTTTTTTTCGCACTGCTTCGAGGGGAGAAAAAAAGCAAATAAGACGCAAATTGCGGGGAATTCCAAAGTACAAATGTTGGAAATGTGCCAAGTAATGCGGTAAAGAAGTATTGATGCACTTCCGGGATTAATAGGGGGAGAACGGGGCAATTTCAGAATGCATAAGTCAAGGAGTTTAAATGCAAAAATCGAGCTTTAAGCTGAATTTTGCTCCAAAAAGTCTCCTCTGACTGTGGTTTATAGACTTCCAAAGTCGGGCACAATCGAATGCCATTCAGATTTCGGTTTATCTGGCATTCAAGAAAGCGTGCTTCGATCCGCAGCTGGGCGGGGGAAGGCATTGGGGATGAGTTATGGAAGAAAAGGGGAGAATATTAATGGTGTAAAAATGTTCACATGTGCGTGCACAGCAGATACGAGAATCACAGCCCACCAAGCACAACAGCAGGAAACGGAAACACCCCAACGGCGATTGCTGACCGAAGTGAGCGGGGTGAGCGGAATGGAGGAAATGTGACGGACCCCATCGATGATGATAAGGATGAACGAGATTCGAACGATGTGAGTTGTGAATTTTAATTTTCCACACACACACACGACGCTGTCTCCGGCTCTTCAGCCCCGGCATTTCGATGGGGGCGCGCGCTGGTGACAGTTTGAGTGGTTTGCATTGTCTGGACTGGCTCAATAATGGGTTCGGATGTGTTTTTGTTGTTGTCCAGGCCGGTGCTGAGGATTTGAGGGTAAAAAATGAAATCGACTACTCACCCCCGCCGCCGACGCTCAGCTCCAACGCCCCGCCGACGCCCACAACGCCCGTGTCCTTCGTGAGCGGAAAGGGCGCCGCCGAGCCCATCGACGGCGGCCTGCCCGGCGGACTGGCCTCGCAGATCGCCACGGCGGACATGCTCAACGTGTGGACGGCCTCGAAGCTGGCCAACAAGGGAGGAAGTGTCAATACGGCCGACGGTAAGAACCACCTTTCTCTGTCACTCAACCGCCAGACCGGATTAGGATGAGATTTTGAAATAATCGCGTCTGGATTTTACGATAAAAGGGGGGCGAAATTGCTGGGTGAACAATTCGTAAATACACCACAATTTCGCATTATTTCGAGCTTCAACCCTTGAATTGATGCTCGATGAGCGGGAAAAGGGGGAGGATTTGACGAAATTGTCAATGTTGAGCCCACAATAGAGACAGTTTGTATGTAATGTATTTGAAAATCAGGTAACTTTAGAAGATATATTTGGCTTTCTTGGACATCACGAGGTCAGTTCCTAACCATTCTATGGATTCTATGCATTTCAGGCCATCTGTTTGAGCTCAAATCATGAGCAGATTGACCAATTCTCGCTTTCATTCTCCACCTCCGCAGGCAAGAAGCTTAAGTGTCCATTCTGCGAGCGACTCTACGGCTACGAGACAAACCTGCGAGCTCACATCCGGCAGCGCCATCAGGGCATCCGCGTGCCATGTCCGTACTGCACGCGGACCTTCACGCGGAACAACACGGTGCGGCGGCACATTGCGCGAGAGCACAAGCATGAACAGTACAACATCAACAGCCTGAAGTACGAGCAGCACCAGATGAGCCAGCTGCAGAGTCACAGTCAGTAGGGCGCGGAGTGTCGCCCGTCCGCTGTGCTGCACCCTCTGACCCCAAGGAGGCTCCCTCGCGGTGAGATCGCGGCGTGTCGCGGCAGGGCTGGCAAGTGAGAGTGAAAGGGTTGTTGACCAGGCGGCCGAGCGCCGCTCCTGGTGCGTTTCTGCTGAGATTCTCGCGTGAGACGGAGTTTTCTTCCACTCATTTATTTATACACACACACACACAAACACACCCCCAACAGTACACCAAAACGCAAGTTACCCCCAGAAAAGCAAAGATCCCAAAAAGCAGAGAGTTACCCTCTCAAAGACATGATTTACACGAGATCAACTTCCGCATGATCACCGCAAGTGTCGTTAGTGATGAGACAAATTTGAATGAACAGAGAAGAGAAAATATTTTTTATTGAATCATAAACTCAATTTGTGTACATAGTGTACAATTTTATATGGATGAAAACAATATGAGATCATAGATACTGTAATTTTGCAATAATTAATTGATATATAGAGAAAACAGCGTTAATAAATTATTCTAATATTAAATTAATATATTGATATAAATGGATAGTAATATATTACTACTTATTGAACTCAGAGTACCTGCTACAAAACCATTTTTTTTTTTAATTACTTTATCTACGCCATTTTTTCAGTCTGACGACTTTCCTTTCTTATCAACATTACAAAAGTGACTTCTTTAGCCCGTTAATTGGACACTTTTCCAATGTTTCTTTACTTCAATTCTGGAGTGTTTTGAACAGAATGTTTTCTTCATTCTGCGAAGGACACACAAAAGCTATATTAAATATGATGATTTCTTTTTTTCGTAATTCCGTTAAAAGATTTCTCCGATGTGAGAAATGTGAAAAACAATTCAATGTACAAATCATAAATCAATCAAGTGCTTTTAACTGAGCCATAATTCAACTTTTTTTAACATGATATATTTTAATGCAATAGATCTTAAGGATTAAATATGAATGAGAAGCCACAAAACCGTACAGAATCAAAATACAGCTGCCCAAAAAAAAAAAAACTATACATTGACTTCCTTTTTCCCCCGAAAATGGCAAGTGAGAATTTTCCGACTGCCAATATCTCAGTGAGAAACATTTTTAAATGCAATATACGTACAGTTTTTTACATTTTTAAATTTAAAGAAAAAAAAAACAATGGATATAGAATGAAACAAACCGGTGCCTCCCAGTGAAACAATTTTTATAATTAATGAGTAAACTAACGTGAAATACAATTTACCTGAAAGTCCGAAATCTCAGCAGAACGCAACATGAGTGGTGATTACGGGTCGTCCTGATAAGGATATGCAAAAAAAAATAAGCATTTGAGATGTGAAGGATTATGAATTTTTTTGATAATGAAATTATCAATGAGAAGAGAAAATGGAGCTGTTGGGGGCGAAAATGCCCGCAAAAGTATGACTTAGTACTGTAAATGACGATGATTAAGAGGATCTGACTGTTCGCCAAGTGAAGAGAACAACAGAGATCAGATCCTCTCATGGATGATGAAGAAAGAGATGATTTTTGAGAAGAGAAAAAAATCAACCACGCAATTCTTGCTAGTAAAGAAAGTTACCGAGTTTTATATATATTTTTTTCCTTAAAGATAGAAGTGAAAGAAGCGCGCGCATTTTCTCTGGAAGATAGAAGAAAATGCTGAAGATGTGAGAGAGAGAAGAAAAGCAGAAAATATAGTGTTATATGCAAGAATGAGAAATAACAGTAATTGCAATAGTTACAAGAATTAATTAACGTAAAGAAAGAAGAAAGAAAAAAAAACATGGATACATGAACAGGGTGATAATTTATTGAAATAAAACGTGAAATAATGTTAATTTATTAAAAAAAAGAAGAAGAAGAAAGGAAGATATCTTCTACTATTAATTACTATGATTATTATTTAAAGAAAAGAAAAAAAAAGAATTATTAGCGGTGGAAAATGATGCAAACTTGAAGAATTCTTTTTATTCTCACTTCCCAAAAAAGAAATGCATAAAACACAAAACAATGATGATGAATTTTCACAGCTCCACCATTTTTTATGTATGCAAAAGAATGAAAAGGATTTGAAGTGCGATTTCGGAAGGTGGACAAGGAAATCGTTGGAGGAGGAAAAAAAAGAGAAAACACAATAAAATATCCCAGTAAATTTCTGTGATCTTAGACGCTTCCAACTAAGTGCTCAAGATGTGTAACATCTTGAGCACGGAGCGTCGATATAACTTCTATTTAATTGCTACAATTTATTTTTATTATTTTTTTGTGTCAATTAAGGAATAATTAAACATATTACTATGAAATATTTAATTGAACGACGCGTATGGATTGTCAGTGTGACTTCCTGACGCGATTCTCATGTTTTTTTTTGTCACTGTATATTTCTTTTTCTGTTTGTACCAAGTACAAGATGCGTCAGGAGAGTCACACTTTGGCAATTGATTTGTATAATTTGATAATTCTTTTTTGATAAAAAAAATCTTCAAATGCAGATACAACAAATGACTCAAATACCTCAAATATAAGACGCTGTAATGTTTAAATGGATTTTGTTCTCAAGTTTGAGGAGCATTTTATTTACCAACTACCTCATTTTTAAGACATTTTTTTTTTATTAGTTTCCTTCAACCAAAATGCAACAATTTACCTTCAAAACATATGCAATAGACTCTTAAGAATAGGAAGATGTCAACATTATATACCTTTAATTTAAACTACACACAAAACTAATGAATTTATATAGTACTGTGAGTGTATTTAGGGACAAAGTCATTTCGCTTTTAATTTAATTGGAGTTTGTTTGAACATTTGTGAATGTTTCAAAAAGGAAAAAAAAACATTTCTCGTGCAAATTTGAAAGAAAAAAAAGGGATTGCGAAGAAGAAAAATCAGTGGAAAATTTGGGATATATCAACAAGGAAAAACTCGGTAAAAGTAATCTAAAAATAAATCATTTTAAGAGAGGATTAACAAGATGGCAAAAATGAGCGGCGTAAAATTAGAAGGAAATGGTGACAAGTTAAAATTATACCACAAAAAGATGACATGAAGTGAAAGAAAAAAAATTATGGATAACAAAAAAAAATTGTAAATAGAGAGTAAAATGGTAAAAATTAATGGAAAAATTTAGGCTAAAGGATGGGCGTAGGAGAGTAATAGCTAGGAATTTGTAATAAAGAAAAAAGATGGTAAAAATCTAGCGCTATGTCCGAAGTTTGGAAGAATAAAAGAGTAAGGAAAAAAAATGTTTAGGCTAAAGAAGTTTTAGATAAAAAAGAGCATAGTTTATTCCATAGTGAGCACGGTTCTATATTTTTTGGTTTTATTATTTGTCTTTTTGGAAAGCAAAAATAATCTGGAAGAGAAATAAGCATAAATCGTTTTTTCGGAAATTGTGTCGCCATTTTGCTTTATAATTTTATTTTTTGGAAGGAGGACAGAAAAAAATGGATAAACAAGATAAGAAATTAGAATAATTGGAGGAAGAGGAATGAAAAAATGGATAAACGAAGAAATATTCCACTTAAGAATATCATAATATTAAAACGAATTTGTTTTTTGTGCTTCTAACATTATTTCCAATTAAGTTTCATAATGTTTTTTTTTTATTTCTCTAAAAATCTTCTTTTTTCCTTTTTACCCCATTTCCCCTTTTTGTCGGGCTTCTAAAAATGAGACAAAAAAAAATTGAAATGTGAATTGTTATTTTCTTGTTGCTTTGCAAAGTTTATGTTTGAATTTTTGCAATTTATCTAAATTAAGATGACATAAAAAAAGGAAAAATTCTTTTTTCGGAATTCTTTAATAAGAGTGAATGGTTGAAAAAATGAGTGTTTGGTTGCGAAGAAGCTAAAAAAAAACAAATATCTTTACTATAAATTAAGGCAAAATTCAGTAATTGGCAATTATTCTTTTCTGTGCAAGACAAGAAAGCAAAAATCCATAATATTTCAATTTATTTTTCGGTTTTGACATTTTTTTTTGACTATTTTATATTTCCTTTATAGTGAAGGCAATAAATTTTCATGCTTTCACACCCTATTTTTCTGTTGCTGCGTCACCTTTGATCCCCATTCTCAGTAATTAACATAATAATCGTATATGGATTTAGGATTTATAACTATAAACTCAACTAGTCACACGTGCAACACACTCAGGTACAATACAAAAGATAGTTCTGTTTAATTTTCTCTTAATTTAAGGATGAAAATGACGAGAAAATATGGCAAAAAAAGGATTATTTTATAGGATTTCTCAGAATTAGCCCAGACATATTTGCTAAGTTTAGGGAGTTTAGAGATGGTGGGAAAAGCATTAACCCAGTAATAAATAGAGAGCAAATACGAATAAGTTACGATAAAACATAAGGAATCTTACTAATGAAGTAACTTTTCTTCAAAGTCCTCTTTCGTTTTGTTCATACTTTTAGTTGAATTGCAATATCCGTTAATCACACACACACACACACACACACACACACACACACATATCTGTGCCAAAGCCCAGTCAATAGCAAATATATTATCCCTTCTTAGCGTACGATTAATTTCCCTGAGAAAATCCCCCAAAAGGCACTTGCAGTGGCAATAGAATCTCTTTTTTTCTACGCAAAACTAAGAGAATTCCAACAGACTTCCTGTAGAAAAAAAAACCACAACATTATAACTTCCACAATGTGAAATAGCTGGAATGAAGAATCCAAACTCATAGTTACAGTTGCTGTTATCTTTTTGATATATAGACATAGAATTATAGAATGTTGTTGATATAGTATAAATATGAATATTCTATTAATTGTTCAGCATATTTTGCAATCGTCTGTCTTTTCTTTGATTTTCCTTTTTCACATCAACCAACAAACTATTTTGATATAGTATTGAAGGAATGTTATTTTTATTGAAGAAACATTCATAATAAGGTATTGTATGTAAATATAGCTGCATACTTTCGTTCGCGTTCTGTTTTTATTTTCTGTGAATGCAAAAGCAGAAAAGCCAAATATTTCCACTGTAAGTTGCCTTCAAATCACACTGTTTTGTAACATGACCGAAACAATAGTCAAATTAGCAATAGTTCGTTGATAGATTGACGCCCAGTCGCTAAAATACACACAAGTTTATCAAATCACACATCACAACAGTCCAGTATTTATTCTGTTGCGTTTAAGGATTCCAAAGTGGAACACAATCATAGAAAAGAAAAACAGAACTAATCGATAACAATCCCAATAGTCTGTTTTACAGTGCCGGATGTCAGTTGATGTCCAAATCAAACGTAAACCTCAGAAACCTCAAGAGAGTCTAAGATCTCTTAAGAATGCAATAGGAACTGATTTCAAAACCACCCTCGCCGTTTTTGACATGTAAAGCAGAGAGTAAAATAAAAGAAGAATAATTAGATGGAAAGGGATTTAGAAGGTTTTTTCTATTAAAATATAGTGAGAAGTGAATTTTTTAAAATAACGTGAAGGAAAAAACTTATTACCATTTATACAAAGTAAAAAGTACTATTACCTACATTATATTGCATATTACCGTATACTGAATCTATACTTTTATTAACTGTAATATTGTAATCATTATGAATATTTACTCTATTTAAAAAAAAAATATGACGAAATAACAAAAAAAAAAAACAGAATAAAAATAAATTGAACATATTGTGGAAGAGAATATCGTGATGATGATGAACCATTTGAATGATGAAGAGAAAAAAAATAGCCATGTGAGAGGAAATAGATTAAAAAAAAGAGATATTTTTTACATGATATATTTTTTCAGTACCCATTTACAGTACTGTGACGGTTTTATTTGTCGTTTTTCTTTTTCCATAGTTGTTCTTCTTTTTATGATGATAAATCCCCAAAAAAAAGAAATACAATGCAGTTAAACACTCTTTTCGCGCGCGAGATTCGTTTTCAAGGACTTCGCGCGCGAGAGAAAAGATAGCAAATAGTACCCCGAAATATATATTTTATTTCACCCAAAATAGTGTTAAAATACAAGAACGTTACATCAATCAATTCTCTTTTGCAGTGTACATAGATCTGACATTTTTTCTTGCTGATAAAGTAAATGAGAGATAGTTGCAATATACATTACAATATGCCTAAATAGAATTTTGTAAAAAGAAAAAAAAATGTAAGACAAAACAAGTTTAAAGTGAATATTTCTTCCATGAAAGTGTAAAGAAAGAAAAAAAAACATGAAAAGAATGTTGCTGATATGAAATCTTGTACATTTTTCCTTGGAAATATGTGTAAAAAAAATAAACCCAGACGCAATAGGTTAATAGTACAATAGAAGATTTTTCTCTTTTTTTTATTTTAAATAAACAATCTTTGTATGATAGAGTATTTTGATGAAGAAAATGTAAACAGATGAATTCTTGAATGAGGCTTCATAGAACTGAAGCTGGAGAAAAAGTGTTGGACACTTCTAAATTGTGTTTTTGAGCCAAATTATTTGATGAAATCACATTGAAAAATGAAGATAGAAATGAGGAAAAAATTTACTTTGGTTTAAGTTTATAAAATATACTTTGTCGAAATGACACTAAAATTTATAATTTCTAAAGTAATTTGTATTTTGTAGGAATGAGGAAAAATT